CCTCCGCCTCCTCCTCATCCTCATCTTCCGCCTCCTCTTCCTCATCCTCCTCCTCCTCCTCCTCCTCCTCCTCCTCCTCCTCCCTCTCCGCTCCTCCTCCTCCTCCTCCTCCTCCTCCTCCTCCTCATCCTCCTTCTCATCATACTAATAATAAGTTTTGATAATCATAATAATAATAATACTAAAAAATAATAATAATAATAATAATAATAATAATAATAATAATAATAATAATACTCATAATCATAATCATGATCATAATAATAAAAAAAATAATGATGATTATAATAATAATAATAATCATAATAATCATAATAATCATAATAATAATAATAATAATAATAATCATAATAATAATACTAATAATCATAATAATAATAATGATAATAATAAAAATAAAAATAATACTCATACTCATACTCATACTTATACTCATACTCATCATCATCATCATCATCATCATCATCATCATCATCATCATCATCATCATCGTGGTCGTCGTCGTCGTCATCATCATCATCATCATCATCATCATCATCATCATCATCAGCATCATCATCATCATCATCATCATCGTCATCATCATCATCATCATCATCATCATCATCATCATCATAATCGTCATAATCAGCATCATCAGCATCATCATCATCAGCAGCATCATCATCATCAGCAGCATCATCATCAGCATCAGCATCATCATCATCATCATCATCATCAGCATCATCATCACCATCATCATCAGCATCATCATCATCATCGTCAGCATCATCATCATCGTCATCATGAGCATCATCATCATCATTAACACTTCTCATCGTTCTCATCCGCAGAGCATCAAGCATCATGCATCATAATCATAATCAAGCAGATCATATAATCAGCATGCCTCTTCTCATCATCATCAGCAGCATCATTCGTCATATCTCAATCATCATCATCAGATCATCATCATCATCATATAACATCATCAGCTCAGCATCTTCATCAGCATATCATTTCGATCAGCATATATATCAGATCTTCATCTGCTTCATCGTATCAGCTATCAGATCAGCATATCATATCAGATTTCTGCATCTCATCATCATATCAGATCGTTATCATTAATTGCATTTATCAGCATCATCAGCATCAGGCATAGCATGCATCAGATCATCATCATCATATTATCATCATAAGTATATGTCATCATCAGCATCATAATCAGCATCAGCATCAGCATCAGCATCATATTCATCTCTAATCATCATCAGGCCGACAGCTTCAGCATTCAGCAAGATCGCTCTCATCACCGTATCTATTTCAAGCTCAGCTCAGCATCAGCATCATCTCCTCTCAATAAACATCAGAGGCAACATCAGACATCTCATCATCATCATCATCATCATCAGATCATCATCATTTGCTCCCACCTCCGCTCGCTCTTCCTCCTGTCTCCTCATCATCTTCTCTCCTCTCCTCTCCTCGCTTTTCTCTCCTCGGCCTATTCCTCTACCCTCTCTTCTCCTCCTCTCCTTCTCCTCCGTCCTCTGTCCCCTCTCCTCCTCCTCCACTCCTCATCGCTTCCCTCCTCTCCTCCTTCTCTCTCCACCTCCTCATCCGCCTTCCTCCTCCTCCTACTCTCTCCACTCTTCCTCCTTTTCTCCTCCTCCTCCTCCTCGTCGCCTTCTCCTCCTCTCCTCCTCCTCCTCCTCTCCTCATCTCCTCCTCCTCCTACTCCATCATCTTCTCCTCCTCCTCCTCCATTCTCTCGTCGCTCCTCTCCTCCTCCTCTCCTCCTCCTCCTCCTCCACCTTTTCCTCTTCCTACTCCTTTTCCCCCCTTCCCCCCCATCGCGCAAATTGACATGAACGCGCCCAGAAGCCTCAGGGGCGACAGGGGCGCCGCCGCCGGCGCTGCCCGCGGTACGGGGGCCTTGGGGGCAGGGGGCCACGCGGCTTTTCCAACTGACAGCGGAAGGGGAGAGGGCTGGATCGGATCGCGAAGTCGGATCGGATGGGGAACGGATCGGATCGCTCCAAAATCAGTGCGGAATCGAAACGGGATCGGATCGTTTGGGATCGCAGATTTGGCTCGGCCCCTGCAAGCAAAACAAGGAATCGACTCTGTCGGCCCAGCCCAGATCGGATCAACATCGGAATCGAGATTTAGAGATCGGATCGAATCGCTTCGGCCCGTGAGCATCCCTGGCTGACCCTTCCTATCCCATTTAACACACAGGAGGCGCACCTGCACATTACCATGCCTGGCCAGAGCCACCCTGGGCCCTAGCACTGTGTATACGCCCTCTTGGCCGAGGCTAAGACGATCAAAACACCATTCTGGGACCCGGGATAGCCCTGCCCGTCCCGGTGGGGAGAAGAGGTCACGGTCGCAGCAGGCGCCGGAACGCGCCCCGCGCGTGCTGCTACGCGCGCGGCAACGCAGGCCTCTCTGCTGCCACCGCCCATGTTTGAATATTGTCGCACGCGCCTTACTTAACGATTCTCGCAGACCCAAAATGTCGTGACAATTCTCACAGGCAATACAGAAATATACCAGATTCTATAACAGAAGAACGCGACAGATACAGTGGACATTTCGTCGGTCCATCTCTTTGCCGGGCGCCCTGTGGACCTTCTGCCAACGGGGCGCCATTTCACCGCTAGGCCCCCCTGGCGCCAGTCCGTGAACTCCTGTAGATTTTCGACGGGTCTGCTCTTGCACACCTCCTGCGCCTGCAGCCACGTTGGCGATCAAAATCTCTCGTGCTCTTGCTCGGCACGGTGCGTTGCTCGCTCGCTTGATCCAGTCGACGCAGGACTCGTCCAGCGCCCTGGCCGCACCAACGATCTTCCTGAGCATCCTATGCATGGCCACACTGAGCTTCTGTGATCTCGCCGCGGTGGGTGTCCAACTACCACAGCCGTAGAGCGTTGTAGAGGACGCGACTGCGTTGAACAATCTCAATCTGGATTTCAGCAGGTGGCGTTTTTTGCACGCTCGCCCGCGAATCGGCCTAACGCCGCCCAACCTTTCGAAATGCGGTTCCGGATATCCACGCCGCGGTAGTCTCCAAGCGCCAGTTGCCTGCCAAGGTACGCTGCACTGTCTTCAACCGGAAGAAAATCGACTTCTGCTTCGCCCACCAGCACGCGACGTTGTCGCAACACTCCTTTTCGATCCTGCACGTTCGACATGATCGCGGCGTTCCCGTCGTGCATATTCAAGCCAACTTCAGCCGCAGCTTCGCTCTAATGTTCAAGCATTCTTCGCATTTGCAACCATAACGGTTAACCGAGTCAAACGCCATCTCAAAAACCACTGCTGCAATCCAGACATCAATGTAACATCCCCTCGCGCTTGCATAAAATATTCTCAGAATCACTACATGGTCTTCGCAGCTGCAACCTCCCAGGAACCCGCTTGGTCCGCTGATTGCTTTCAAGGAATGCTTCAAGTCGTCGGAAGAGACCCACGGCAAACAGCTTGTAGACAATCGGTCCAATTGTGATGAGGCGATAGCTCCCGGGGAGTTTCGGGCCTCCTCTTTTGAACAACACCTTCACGCAATCGTGCCTCCACGACGCTGGCGGCCCATCCCCGCGGGCCAGGATACTCGCGACGACGTCGGCTAGCACTTGTCGTTTAAGTACCCCCCACGAACTTTGAACATTTCAGCGGCGATCCCTTTGGAGGCCGCTGCCTTCCCTGTCGTCAACTGTCTCACATTTTCGTCAATTTCCCCCGCTGCAGCTGACGGCATAAAAACCGCGTCGCCCCTGCGTCTGCGGGCGCCGCCGCTTGCCACCTGTTCCTCTCGGACTCTATATAAGTCCTCTTAGAAACCAACGGAGACGTCAACGACGCCCTGTCCATCCGAATGCAGGTCCCCACAGTTATCTACGACGCTGGCAAGTCGCATCTTCTTGAAATTGTTGCGGATGTCCTCGGCGCGCCCAATGTTCCTGAAATCGCTCAAAATCTCATCGGTCTGCTCCGTCTTTCATTGGCGCTGACAAATCCCAAATGATCGTTTTTATGTATCCCATCTTCCTTTCGTTGACACGCGCTCTCCTCCTCTACGAGCTGCTCGTCTTTCAGACATCAGCGTCTACATGCTCGGCGGCTGACTTGTCCGGTCTCGCTTCGGCCTCTCCGATTTGCCCCCTTTGCTGTCTCACGGATTAGTTCAAACATTTCTCCAATTCCTCAAACACCGCCGCTGCAGGTGGTCGCCCCCCCCCCCCCCCTTTGACTGGATTTGAACACTTGACTGCAAAAACGATGCATCGCTTGCAGCATGGACATCTCAAGGATGAAACGTGGCCTGCATCGGGCAGTATGCGATTGCAGCTGATAGCCCGTTCCCGGCTAGAATTTCAGTAAGCGAGTCTCCTCGATTGCTTCGCTCCCCCACCCCACGTTCGCCAACAAACTGGCTGTCGCACGAACCGCCGCCAGCGCCCAACACTGCGTTCCAGTCGCCCCTCGCTACCAAAACCTGGCCCCACTGTCTCGCTCGCTGTCGTAGGCGCTCTAATTTCTCATCGACGGCCTCAACATCTGCATCCGGACATGTAGTCTGGCACGTTCACAAGGACGAGCCGAAAGGACACATGAGCAAATTGATGTCCAGCCAACAGAGACGATCGCTGCTGACTGAACACGACGACATCCCAGAAGCCCACAGCGCACGCGACAGAATTGCCACTCCACTTCGACTGACGGCCCCTTCCGCCCCCAAGAAGACGCGCCCACGTTCTGCTTCGAACTGCCGATTGTCAGCGAATCTCCGAGTTTCGTCCGCAAACACAACACCCCAATTGCCCATCATAGACAGCTCAGCCAACAAATCCTCCACACGCCGGCGCGCCCACTGCTTCCTGCCTCCTTCCTCCACGCCGTTTCGTCGCAACCCCCCGGCTGGGCCCTCGAAAGCAGGCACGCGGGAAGGCCGCCATCCATCGTTCATGAACTACCTCTTCCTCAACCACAACTCTTAAATCAAATTTGAA